AGATACAAGAAAACTGCCTTAGGAACTTAATTTAAAAAAATAATAATAATAATAAAATTGATCAAAATTTTGTTTAGTGCTAATCGACTCAGAGTCATGAAGGATCATTTCAACAATATCGTCCCATACAAATGGGACGAAAAAATCGGGGCAGCAAAGTTGGTCAAATTTAATGAAAAAAATTTCATACACAATGAATAACATTTTATTAACTTTGATCAACTTCTGCTGTCCTGATTTTCTTCGTCCTATACAATGAAATGATTCCGTCATGAAACTGAGTCGATCGGCACCAAAAAAGATTTTGATCAATTTTATTCGTTTTAATGGACAACTCACGCTTGACCAAAAAATTGACTATGCTAAAATTGTTTCCACAAAAAAGACGACTTTATGGATCCTAAGATAGTTTCTTTGTATCTTATATGGTTTTAGATTTCCCCATACTGTCCCATTTTAACAAGTTTCCTGTGCAGCTCGAAATCAGAAATAGACCCCTCACGTGCAAATTTGTTGGAATTGGTATATATTGTTACATTCATGGACAGAAAAATCATTTTCGTAAACCCCCATCCCATTTTCACGTTTTTCCCAAGTGCTACACATGTGATGCACGCACGTATGAGTTCTTTACTTGATGCCACATACATGATGCACGCACGTGGTAGTTCCTTAATTTTATTTGGCTCATTATTTTAGTTCTATAATTTGTATTTTCTATAATTAATCTTTTTATAATAAAAATAAAATTTAGTAAATAATTTTATTCTTTATTTAAAAAATAATTTTACTGCATCCAATAATCGTAATAATTCATGCACGTTTCAAATAGTAATTTTGACAGATGTTTTTTTTAGGTTTTCGCGATTGTTACACATAAGAAATGCAACTATTTTTCCATTTTTCCGGAAAGGTTTGTTATTATATTATATGTACATATAGTATATTTCTTTTTTCAAACAACCCTTTGTTTGAAAAAACAAATTTAAATCCGGAAAAATAGTTTCATTTCCTAGATGTTTTTTTGTTAAATCTCTGTGTTCTTTGTTCATTCTATGCCTTGAAAAGATAGAAAAGGGTAGTGAAAGTTTATTATAAATTGTTAAAAATTATACAAAGTGTCACAAAGTCGACGTTTATCATGAAACGCTCAAAACTACGAGGTAAACCGATTTCGCTGTCTGCGCCGGAAGAAATATGGAAAATTCTGGAAGAAAGTGATGGTGAAGATCATCTTATGGAAGAATTAGAGAATCCTTTAGAGAAATAGAGTATTATCATGTGCCATATACGTAAGTCCTATACAAATTTTGTAACTTGAAATAAAAAAATGTTGATTATTTTTTGTGTTTTATTTTAACTATGACAATCTGGCAACATTGGTTAAAAATTCACCCGGTACCACGTGCATAATGTCTCTATTTTCGTGAATCATACGTGCAAGTAAATAAAAACGATCTAGCTTACATGTGCAAATTAAAAAAAATCTATAAGTTTCAAAAGGGTCGTGCATCATATGTGATGCACTCACGTATTGCTTGTAACTTGAAATTTTTAACGCTCACACTTCATTTTTTTGTTATATTAACCGATATAAGAAATCATTTCCTGCGTGGGTTTGTAATGATGATTTTTCTTATCAGAGTACAAAGATTTTTTTAAGAAACATCTCTTCTGTGTTGTCGAAGTAGCGTAGTATCTAAGTAATGTCCAAGTAACATATTAACGGAGTAGCGTAATGTCTGAATAAAATCATGTCGATGTAACATATTGTCGGAGTAGCGTGTGTCGAAGTTCAATTTTAGAGTCCTCTCTGCTCTCTGTTACATTCTTTTTTCTTGGAAACTAAGTCAAAGATAAATATTTAGGGAAAAAAATACCAGACAATCACACCAAATTTCTTTTCTCAAATTAGGGAATATCCTGTACTATGAATACCAGAATAACGATATCTCTGAGGGCAATACCCAGAATACCCAGACCAGAACCAACTTCGAAATGTTCGTTTCCTAAATTTGCACAAATCGGGAGTCGAACCCGGAACCTCTTCACCAATTGCTCATAGCACTAACCACTGTTACCCCCGAAGGGCATAAGCACACTCCGTAATCTAAGCCCAACCACGCACCGCAGGCCGAGCCCGGCTCCATCGTAGGTGGGGTACAGGGCTTGTTTTGTATAGGTACAAACATTTTACGCGGACGTTAGCGATAACTGTCATTGTAGTCTCATGGTAGTACCACAAATTCTCTGGAGTGACTCGTTGCGTAGTCCTAAATCTTTAGATTTGGAGCACAATAAACCTAATATAATAAAATCAACACAAACATTATCACCGTGACTCGTTCCGAAGGAACGACGTTCCAAAGTCACATAGGTGTTCCTCCGTTCCAATAGCTATCCCCGTCGCTCACATCACGACATACGTATTTGATACAATGTGCGATCTCCGTTCCGTGGTGACTGAGCGCGCCAGTCGTTGTAGTTCGGATAATTGGGCAATTTCGGCGGTGGGAGTGAGTGAGATAGGACGACTTTCTTTGCTCACTCACAAGGGTCGTAGGTGCTTATTACTACAAGGAAAGGCGGATGAAAAAAATCTGCAGCAGTTACTATAAATCTATTTATTAGCAAAGTAAAATATTTTTGAATATTTGTTAGATATAAGAAGAGTTGGTATTTTATATTTATGTATAATCTACTTTGTGTATTTTACTAGATATATAATTACATTACACTTTATTGCTATTTCTTAAAATCCAAAGATTCGCATAAAATAAGTAACAAACAAAATTACATTAAATACTAAATCAACTTGTTGAATGGATTTGAAACTTATTACAAAGGGAGTAAAAACTTAAATCATTTTATAAAAACGGCTATAAGTATTAGAAAGAAGCCGCTGGCTAAAACCGTATATCGTGATGTAAGTTATAGGCGTGACAAAGTCACGGAAGTAACAGTCGTGACAAAATCACGGTGATTTATCACTATACGATAGAAATGTAACGCTTTCCCCATGTCTATAGTCTGCCTTTTATATGACGGATTAAAATGACAATTCATTGCACAAAAGTGTTGCCCGCTTGCAAGTAGCTAGTGATTGCAGTCGATAAATGTTCTACCACTACCAACTGAATATCAGTCACCCTCACAAATTAGAAAGATATAGCCACACTTAAGGAATAAATAGACGAAGTTGTTTCATTTGAATCATCCTCGACCCAGTCTAAGCCCAACGCTCGTGTTTGACTCATGTGCACTGCTCCCATGTCATGATAATTACGAAAAGTGAATTTGCACAGAAAAACAAAACAAACAACAAAAAAACGAAACACGGGAATCGAACATACGTAACGTCATCTTAAATGCCAACCGTGTCCATTTCGCAGTACATGAGGTACATAATACCGTTGTCAAAGGGAAGTACAACAAATATCAAAACAAATGTTTTTCCAAATGTACTATTGAATTATTCGCATGTATTATAATTAAATTGGACAAAAAGATTGACAGTGAGAATAGTTAGGTATTAATAAAAATGCAACGCTGCAGCATTAAGGGATGTGGCTTTAGAAAAAGTGCAAATCAATCGAATGTTACATTGCACAGGCATGTGTTATTTTTTTGTCTATAAATCACACAATAGTCCAAATATTTCATGTAATTAGACTTATTTAAATAGTTTATTTATAAATCTTGCCATATTTTGCTTTTGTTACTTTAGATTGCCTATTTGTTTGTATATTTTGATGATTGTTGTTAACGATTATTTTGAGATAGTGTTGATCTTGTAAGCATACATATTATCGATATTCTGTTATTAAAACAATTCACAACGAGATTTTTATTGTTTTATTATAATTATTTTTATTATTTCAAATTTTTCTACAAATGAAAAAAGGAAGCAAGAATGGTTGGAAATCATAGGACTGCCGAATATAAACATTGGATCAAAGACCATCTTTATTTGTTCGCTTCATTTTGAAGAGTCAAATTTTAACAGAACTTTGAATGTCACTAGATTACATGACAATGCTATTCCATCATTAGGTTTATTGACAAATAATTTTATGTTCAATTTAGATTAAACAAGACTCATAAGGGTCGTATTCTAGAACTCTACTCAATGCTCAAGTCAGGACTTGAGTATGATTCAAAGCACTAGAAATCATACTCAAGTCCTTGCCATTAGGGTCATATTTCCAGTGCTTGAAATCATACTCAAGTCTGCTCAAATCCTGACTTGAGCATTGAGTACAGTTCTGGATTACGATCCTGACTATTAAAAATGACTATTTTTTTAAAGCCTGCATGTTACCAGCTGTAATCTTGAAAATAAATTAAAAAAAAAGTTTAAAAATGTGTGTTGACATTTATAATAATATACCACTCGAGATTAAATTATTAGACTTGTGTTTGTTTAGGCATACTTTGGTTACAGTAAACTAAACAAACAAACAAAAAACAGTTTCAACATTCAAGCCATACATTTGCATGTCGATAATGACTTATCGATAGATTATGGTACAACCTTGGTACAACATTAAAGAAATCCGCCATTTGTAACTTTCAAATTTAGGTTATATGCACGTTGATTCTGTAGTTAGGGCAGCTCCATTCTTTTATTTTTTTCCAGTGTTTGACACAGACCAGCAGGCCTATTGCGTAACTCTGCAATGCTATTTCTTTTGTTTAATGTTTTATGTGGTCTGTGGGCTATGGGCTTACTCATGACGTTATGTCCTAACGTAACTAAACGTGATGCCCTGTGTATTATAGATACTATCTCTACATTGTCCTTTGAGAAATTTGTACTTAAAGACATTGACTTACAAATAAACTTAAAGAGCATTGACTTTTAAAGAGAAATAACAATTAAAGTCTTATGTTATGGGGCAGTATGGTCTTTGACCCTAGCCTGTACTTTTTGGAGGAATAGAACAAAAAAAGTGTTTTGTTTATGGCATGACATGTAGTGTTTCAAGCAGTAACATTAATTTTGTAAAAGAGGGAAAACTCAATTTAGGCCTACGTGAATTCCGAAATGGCTCAGTTTCGCCCGGCTGGGTTATCCGATGAAGACTCAGAAAGTGATGATTATGGATATAACATGAAACCGGTAAGACTTACTGAAATATGAACGCGCATCCCGTCGCAGTCATTTGTTTTCATTACTTTTCTGTCCAGCTATAATTTTACCCTGTGAGATCAATAAAGAATTAAAAATTTATTTAACAAATTAAATATTATTTATATATTAAGCAGTTATTGAATAATGAAAGTTATTTAAACACGCAGATGACGCGCGCTATCGCGGTTCAGTCGCTGCCAGTAAACTTTTGTATTCATTCTTACTGAGCCCTTATGGCGCGTTAAATAAAATAATTTGACTCATATTAGGTAAAAACGGACACAATCTTTCATAAAATCACTGCTTTTTGTTACACACACAGTTTTGGTCTGTATGTTCTATAAATTGTATGCAAAAATACCTGTACCTTGTATTTTATAGAGAACCTAATTTCAGGCAAGGCCGTTGCCATATCAGCAACACAATGTAAGAAAGAAGATAGAAATCGAACTACAAGACGCTATTATTAATGGCGACATCAGTGCTGTTGAGAAAATCGTTCAGTGTGGTTAGTTGTTATGTTATGTATTTATCTCTGTTGGCTCCATTGTTTTTCATGGTGTGACTCAAGACTATAAGTTTTTTTTGTAAAATTGATGAGTGCTTCACACATCATCGCAATTTGTCTGATGTTTAGTCAATGTGGCCCATAATGTTATATATTTGTCTAGTAAATGCCTATTCATTTTAGCCTTGAATAGCCCTAAATTGTAGCTTTCCAGAAACACTGACATGGTGAATTCCACTCCTTACCTGGACACATAGCAAAATATTTGCCCTTTGTGCGAACAGATGGTATTAATGACATAAGGTTGGTGTGTTCTGGACTTTCTAGTAGTCCGACACGGGAACGGTGAGGGTGGAACTAAATTGTAAAGTTCTTGTAATTTCAATATTATTTTAATAGGCTGCCAATAAAAGGTTACTTCAATTTAAATTTAGTTATTGCATTATTTAACGTGATGCTCTATTTGTCTCCACAAATTTAAATCAAAATTTTATCAAAATATTCTAAATGAGGAGCTTCGAAACAAAAACCAATAAAATTTGATTCTTGTTTTGTCTAGTCTTGTTGAATAGATTTGTTACTTGTTTACAAATCCATGCATATGAAACATTTTTAAGGGGGATTTAGCAGTTCAGGTTGGGTAAATTGTTCATAGAAATATACAAAAATTACCATTTAGCATTAAAAAAGAAGACAAGTAAAATGTGACTTATTGCTTTTTTCCGACGCTCCTTAAATTATCTGTTCTAATTGATGCAAAGTCTTTAATACCGACTTGGTATGTATGGTATAAAGGGTGGTATTTGTTGCAACAGAATGTCATAGGATTAATTCAAAATTAAACATACACCTATCTGCAAACCCCTTTGGTGTTATTGTGCATATAGTGTCTTTTCGAGGTTTTAGACAACAAGAAACTAAATTCTATTTGTATATCTTCATTCCAGACTTGCACAATGTTGTAAACATGAAGCTAGACAGCGGCTGGACTCCTCTTATCCATGCCTGCTTTCATGCTCAAGACAAGATTGTCAAGTTTCTCTTGGATTTGGGAGCTGATCCTAATTTACATGCAGGTAGATAAATTTTGAAATACACCTTATTGCATATTAAGCAGTTATTGAATAATGAAAGTTATTTAAACACGCAGATGACGCGCGCTATCGCGGTTCAGTCGCTGCCAGTAAACTTTTGTATTCATTCTTATTGAGCCCTTATGGCGCGTTAAACGCGCGTCGTCCGCGCGTAAAAAATACGCCTGTGCATAAGCTCTTAGTTTTTATTCAACTTTTTATATTTGTATATAATCTATTCCAAACTTGTGCAACCAATTATTGCTATTTTACATAATTCATTCTAAAGCTATTCACTATTTGTCTTTGTCTCACTCACATTTTGCACCTGTTATTTACCCAATGCCTCGGGTGTTATGATGGTATTCATCCAGATGAACTCCATTATAACATAGTCCAACCAGTTCTTGTTCTGATTTTTTATATTACTTTGTGTAAAATTTGCAGATTCTGTAACACCAATAATGGCAGCATGTTCAAATAGCAGCGCAAACAACGATACCATCTACAGCATCATTTTAAACCTCATTGAGAAGGGTAGCATTTTGAACATAGGAGACAAGTACGGGCAGACTCCCCTCATGAGAGCAATTAGCAATGGAAGAGTGGCCGTCGTAAGGAAGCTGCTTGATAGCAATGCTAATATGGAAATGAGGGATCAGCAGGGGTGGACTGTAAGTAACTATTGTCTGGTGATATCTACAATTACTGTTACAAAACTAACATCTTCCTTCATATATGATGATAGTTTGTCTTTTACGGCAAATCTACTGTACCATTGCACTCATGAGTCTAAGAGCCCTGTATCGCACACTACAGTGTGGTCGGGGTCGGCCTGCGGCGCGTGGTCGCTTTTAGATTACGGGGTGTGTTTATGCTCTTTGCTGGCACAGTGGTTAATACTATAGGCGCTTGATGAGGAAGTTTTGGATTCTATTCCTGGTTTGGACCAATTTAGACAACGAATATTTATAAGTTGGTTCTGGTCTGGGTATTGCCCTCAGAGTTAACGTTATTCTGGTATTCATAGTACAGGCAATTCCCTAATTTGAGACCAGAAATTTGGTGTGATTGTCTTGATTTTTTTCCCCTAAATACTTCTCTTTGGCAAAGATTCCAAGAAACAAGAATCTAACAGAGAGATGGTCGAGATGCAATAATGCTGTAAGTATCTCATTTCCACTACATTGGGAAGCATGCCTTATAATTTCATCAATTGTGAGATCTAAGGGTCTTATTCTAAAACTCTACTCAGTGCTCAAGTCAGGACTTGAGTATGATTCAAAGCACTAGAAATCATACATCAAGTCCTTGCCATTAGGGTCGAATTTCCAGTGCTTGAAATCATACTCAAGTCTGCTCAAATCCGACTTGACCATTGAGTAGAGTTCTGGAATACGACCCTTATACTCGTAATAGAGCCTCCATATACTACCTACGTACGGTGCCGTGCCGCCGCTTCGGGCTTCGCCCTCTGTTGGACATCAGCCTACGGTCTCGGCACTTATGACTTTGTTTTAAAAAATAAAAATAGCTCATTAATGGCGGCCATATTTAAAATTTGCGAAATATATTTTCCGCAAATTGTTATCAGGCAATTCTAGAATTTTTTTCATGGCAATTTTCAGCCCGAGCAAAGTAAGTTTTTCCAACAGCCATCGAGAAAAGAATACTTAAATGGCGGCCATATCGAAAAACGGCGAAAATCTAAATTTTTACTCTAAGTTATAATTGTAAAAAAAGCGCTTATATGGCACCCATATAGAAAAATAACAAAAAATAAATTTAGACCGCATATTATTATCAAACACCCATAGAGATCCCCACATGCCGATTTTCATTAGAATTAGAGCAAATTTTTATCTGCCGCCAAAAAAAGTTTGTATGGCAGCCATGTTGAAAAATTATTATTAAACACCAAAAGTTTTAAAATTTAATTTAAAACAGGACGTAAATATTTTAAAACAGTTGTGAAAAACTAAAACGCGCTCTCGTTCAGATTCATAGAAATGGTGCTTTCGCCCTTTCTACAAACACCGACTATATGAACATGTAAAAACTGACGTGCGATCTCTACTACTGTTTTGCTCTCCCTACTACTTATATTTAATATTCTACAGTCCCTAAGTTTGTTTAACTTTTATCGCGTGGTATTGACTTTCGATAGACATGAATTTTATTAAGTCATTGACTTTACAGGCTGTGTTCTGGGCTGTTCATCACAAACAGCCTGAAATCTTAGAGATGCTAATTGAACGCGACGCTCGACTATCGGAGGTTGATAAATCCGGCCGAACTCCATTGGACATTGCCAGTTCTCATGACTATGAAAACATAATTGAGATATTGAATAAGAATTCAAAGACTGAACCAGAAACTGAAGACTCTGAAAAGACTACTTATTCTGCTAAAAAAGAATCGTCATCTTGGCTAGATCTTTATCCTGGACTATATGAAGGAAAAACGTAAGTTTTTTTTATGGCTTACTAGCTCATGGGTATTACTTAGTGGTTCCTGTTGAATTAAATCTTTTTTGATACTTAATTTGGACTGTGGAAAGATATCTGCTTTAATTTGTTCGTAGTTATTGATATAGATTGCCTATTGAAGGTTTAACACCATGTATAGGCGCGGAACTTAATAGTGCCACATTCGAAGAGAAGTGTTTCCAACAAGCAAAAGTAAAAGAAATGTTAATCATGTGAAAAGCAAGCAAAGAAAATCCCAAGGTTGTGCGATCAAAAGTATTAAAGTAAATTGAGATCCAAAATAGAGACTTTGACATACATACTTGGACTACACGACAAATCGGTTTTGTGACATTAAAAAAATATTTGTGTGTACATTTTGATGAACACACACACAATAATAGTTTTTAGACAGAACGAAAATAGACAAAGGAAAATAATAATAATATATAAAAAACAACATAATATTCCATACGAAATAAAATCAATTTCTATTCTATTCTATTTTTAACCGACTTAAAAAAAGGAGGATCTCAATTCGACTGTATATTTTTTTTTGTATGTATGTTACGCGATAACTCCGGTATTTGTGAACCGACTTTCATGATTCTTGTTTAGTTGGAAAGAGGGTACCTCCATATTGGTCCCATTTAACTTTGAAAAAAACCATCCACCTCTAAGGATGACTGTTCACGCATGAAGATTCATTTTTATATATAAATAGCGCCTAAATTTTATTATAAGGAGCAATTATTTTAGTGGTTGATTTTGCTATTCTGCAATTTAAGGCGTTTTTCTCTTTCAATATACTTTGAGTAGTGAGAACCGATTTTTATTATCTCTTATGTCAAGTCCCGTATAGTGGCGAACTAGGGGATGAATCCGGGTTTGCGCACTTTCCGGTAACCGATTTCAATAAAACTTGGTAATTATATAAATTCCACGTACTTTTGAGGTCGGTTTTTTTAGTACTCTGTACTGAGATTATTATTAAGTTTCTGACTTCTTTTGTAGAATTTTGCCAGTCATGTCAGTCATGAGAGTTACACTTTTGTTTTTTAGATGTTTAATTAATTAACTCTGCTCTTTACTCTATTCCGGCTTCAGGAACAATACAGAATAACACGATATACCATCACCATTACAAATATTTAAATAAATAAGTTTTATAATTTAAGTTATAATATAATAAAATCAGTTATTAATTCTAAGAGGGTATTTGTAAAAACATGTAACAGAAACTTGAAATTTACGGAGCGAAGAATAGAAGGTGGCAGACTATCATAAATAGACCACGTTCTGGTAGGGCAGCTGAAAAATATGGTCTGGGGTGCCTTCATCCAGGCCGCATTCCCAAATTGAGCTATCCCGTGTTCCTAGTTTTGCCAGATGGACCGGGGTGAAGGCATAACCAATTAGAAGTCGGCATACTGTAAAGTAGACGTAACAGTCTTACTAAATCCTTTATGGCTAAAGAACCAAGGCTTTTTGGGGATACATGTTTGGATGTCGGCGAAATATTAGCCCTTACTGAGTGTACTTTTGCTCCACTTGCGCTCCACGAGGAAAACGTATCATTGGCAGCTAAAGGCAGGAGGTCATAAGTAAGTGTATGTCTTATAATGAGTAAGACAACCTGTTTGGATGGCATTTTTCGCCATCATGTCTGCAGTTTCATTACCTTGGATCCCACAGTGACCTGGTACCCACGCTAACACAACTTGTAAATTGTTGCGATGACATTAATGTAAAACTTCCTAGATCTTTAGGATAGTATGGTATTTTGTTTTAGCAACAAATTGATTTGACAAAATAGCCTGCAAACAGCTTTTTGAGTCTGAAAAAATTATGTTTTTGTTATTAAACTGCCGGTCTGCCGCAGGAGAATCTTTGTAAATACCAAAATCCAGTATTATTTTAGGTTTATATATTATTGCATCATAGGAACAGGAAAAAAAGGTATATTTATCAGTTTGGAAGATTGGGGAAATAATATTAATACATTTTTGATAACTTTTAAGAATGCAAGGAATATCTTTGACTTGCCATTACTTAGAAGTCCTAGCTAGATCAGACAGTTTGTGGAGTTTAGATAGGAGAAGATGAGGGGATAGTTGCTCAACTTTGTAAATAAATCTATCCGCTTCTTAGGGAGACAGGGGGTTCCACACGCTCAACCTGGAGAGCATTTATAGGTGAAGACTTCATAGCGCCGACAATGATACGGACAGACTTTGATTTAATTTTGTCCCATATTTTAAGAGCAGTTGTGTGACAAGGTTCTAATAATTTTTTTTTATATAATATAATTAAAATAAAATTTATATATAGTCTGTTATAGACCCTAAAACACATCATCATGATTTTACTCCGACATTACGCTACTCCGACAATTTCTTACCTCGACATTACTTTACTCAGACACTACGCTACTTCGACAACACAGACGACATGTTTCTTAAAGAAATCTTTGTACTCAGATAAGAAAAATCATCATTTCAAACCCATGTAAGAAATGGTTTCTTATTATATACTGATCAATATAACAAAAAGAAAACAAAATCATATAATCGAAAAATTCTTTTATTAGTTATGTAAAGTGTAACAAAAAATTATTAAATTAAAATATAATAAAATACACTATATAATATTTTTTTAGTATATTTTTTTTTATCGAGGGTCTAAAACAAGCCAATATCGTCGATGTTTTCTGGAAAAGGCGAAAGCGCCATTTTGAACAAATTTTCCGGGGAGCAAGTTTTAGTTTTTCATGACTGTTTTAAAACTTAAGTTTAATTCAATCCAAAATTTAATTTTAAATCAGGTGGTAAATATTTTAAAACAGTCGTTAAAACTTAAAACACGCTCCCCATATTTTTTTTTAAATGGCGCGTTCGCCCTTTCTACAAAACACCGATGAATTTACCCGAGTGAATGAATGAATGAATGAAATGAAATATTCGTTATTGCATATAAAATTACAATTAAAATACAATACAATAGCTTAAGTATAATAGTAGTAGTAAGTCAATGTGCAACAGGCGGCCTTATTGCTATTTAGCAATTTCTTCCAGGCAACCTTAGGATAGACATTTCGGATATGCAAAAGGGGTGCAACCAAAGAATATCATCATAAGTACACTACATAATAAGTAATAATAAAAATATATACATATCCATAGATAGATATACATATGTATACATACATACTATTATTAATACATACATAACAAAAAATACACAATAATATTAAATGTTTATATACTTTTAAAGGAAAAAGAAAAATTAAGTATAAATGTAGGAAATAAATGAAAGGATAGTAGAGGACAGACGAAATTTAGGAGTTGAGGAAGTGTCAAGGATTCGATTGAGGAAGTGTGAAGGACACGTTGTTTGAAGGAATCAAGAGAAGGGGATCGTCGAATCGATTCAGGGAGAGAATTCCACAATCTGATCGCAGAAATGGTAAAAGAGTTGGAATTAAAGTTAGAGGTATGAGAGGGCAAGTTAAGTAAGAGAGTATCAGAGAAGCGAACGGGACGACAGAGTGTAGAAGAGTGGAAAGTAAAGCGATCTTTAAGATCAGAAGGCGTAAAGGGATAGAACAGAATTGAATAGAGAAGTGAAAGGATATGACGATCTCTACGCCGATGGATGGGCAGCCATTTAATTTGTGCGCGAAATTGGGAGACATGGTCAAATTTACGTAGTCCGAAGATGAACCTAACACACATATTTTGGAGCCGTTCCAATTTATTGAGCAGAGTTACTGACAAATCTGGGTAGCAAACATCTGCATAGTCCAGTATCGGGTGGAGAATGCTCTGGGCCAGTTTTTAAGCCTTCTCAGATTGTCGGAGTAGCGTAGTGTCTGAGTAAAATAATGTGGAAGTAACATATTGTCGGAGTAGCGTAATGTCTGAGTAAAATCATGTCGATGTAACAAATTGTCGGAATAGCGTGTGTCGAAGTTCAATTTTAGAGTCATTGTTATGACATTATATACTACTCGTACCCCTGAAGTATAATATATTTAAACATAAATATACTTGAAACCAATGAAAAAAGATGTTTTTTGATATTACCAAGTGACGAGACACGTCTGTTCATGCGGCGGGCACGGGCGTGACGAGCACTGCCACTGCAAGTGCAATCATCACCCTGAGACAAGTTGACAAGTCCAATGTGCCTAAAATTTCACCAGCACCTTTTTAAAACTGGAACGCCGTAATGCTCACATTACTGCTTGGCGGCAGAAATGAGGTAAGCTATATGGATATTGTTAATCTATATTTGTACGTTTACAGAGTTGACTACACAGCCGAGATTTCGCGTCTTCTTTATGGAATGAACTGCGAGCGACTATGGCCTCTCATTGCGGAAAGCGGCATAGATCTTAAAACATTCCTTCTTTTGGACGAAGAGAGTATGATCGATCTTGGGATAGAAATGCCGTTTGAGCGACAGAGGCTGTTGCTCGGACTTCGAAAGTTCCACCTAAGAGGCTGGAGATTGGACAGCGTAGCCGGTTTATACGCCTGCAAATCTGAAAACTACAGGTAATTATTATTTTAATTATGCACGTACCAACTATTAGATAGATTAATTGACTGACCAATTCATTTGTCAAGGTTAAAACAACAAGAGCCTTTGGGGATAGCTCATGGATTTCTGTGTGGTACCTCGGCTTCTGGACCGTTAGTAATAATGGTTATATTCAAGAAATCTGGTATTTTTTTAACATCTATGTCAATATGTTAAAAATTGCATAGTTATTAACATTTAAAGAATATATATTGGAATGTGTCAATCAAACCCTCATGTGATGTCCCACTTAGTTGCTCCACTTTCAAATTGCGACCCATCCTGCTTATATAAGAAAAAAAACATTTCCGAACTTTCACCCACCGTAAATGCGTGCAGGCAAGTCCTTGGTGAAATTAGTAACTAATTAATATCTGCCTTATACAGATGTACATACACCGACGTACACCACCATAATCCGTTTTTTATTTTTAGGTTACGGAATCCTAAAAGATGTTATCGTTTAGAGGACAACTCGCAACTAACAAAAACATCATAATAAAGATTATTAAAACCAAAATATTTATTTTTATAAGACTTATTATCGTTAATTGATACGGTTTTAGGCACAAATTATTTGGGATGTAGACTTTAAGGTTGTCATATTATTGCTATATTATGTGCTAATAACTGCATCCGTGGCCGAATGGCTACCATACTGGACGGCCACGCAGAGGTCGCGGGTTCGATCGAGAAATATTTGTATGGCCTGTATTTATTTCTCTCGTGAGTTTGGATGTAATTTATGGTTGTCTATGTGTGTGTCCATGGTGCCTGCGATACAGGGTTTTCCTTGTGCAGGACTATGAGTGTGTCCATTATTAAAAAAATATATTATATTTCTTCTGTGTGCACGTTTTATCACGATCGACGACAAGTTTATTATTTATTATTATAGAGTTTGAAAGTATATAGGCATTGTACTTAATCACAACTGCTATTTTCAAAATATCAACAAACGAAATATGCTTGAGTGATATTTTTTTACCTTTACCACTGGCGTTTGATAAATTATAAATATATAACAGTTAATATCTAGTACAGTTGGTTCGAAGGAATTTTTCTTCATGTCTATTCGATTTTTTGTCAATAATAATAATAGAGACTAGTGGAGTATGTTCACAAATATACGGGAATATCATGGTAGTAAAAACATCATGGTATTCAATAAAATTAATATTGCAGTTATATAAATATTTCAATATATTTGATGTGATAGAGTATAATTTTTGAGCATATTTTTTGTGAATTAGGTAGTTGAATAAAATAGTGTGGTAAAAATTCGTGATGACTTTTGGTTCCATTCAACAGTTAATTTTACATAAATACCACATATGCCTGTCTTCCACTGACGTAGGCAGAAAACATGAACTTCCACTTGGTACGCTTCTGAATACCTTTTAAAGAAGAGCAACTCGCATAAGTCACACTTACCATCTCTCCATACTTAGACTACTGAGATCATTGACCTACCAAACTGAGATACATAAATTTCTCTTGTTCGAGCCTCTCGCTACCAGTTCTAATAGAATGCGTCTGTAACGCTTTCATTCAGTTCAATCACCTTCGCCTCGCTCACATTCACCTCTTTTCCTTTTTTCAAACGCTTCCTGCATAACTGTTACCGTCTTCTGCAGTTATTCTGCGAGGCTAGAATCACTTAATAATCGGCATAAAGAACACATTTGACAAGTAACTAATTTATTCTTAATTTTCAATCATCTCTTTCAGATTTCACAAACAATTGTCTATGAACAGGTTGAACAACCACGGAGACGCTACACAGCCCTGCCTAATACCTTGAATGGTAAACCATTCTGTGTATGCTTGTAAAGATATTGCAATGCTTGAATCAGATGGCTGCTCACACATAATGCAATGCTACATTGATAAGCTTTCTACTGCCCTTTCCTCACTACCCTGTCATAAGAATTTTCCAAGTCTACAAAGACGTATTAGAGTTTTTGACTTTATACCAAGAATTTTTCGACTGTGCATCTTAAAGACTTGATCCTACATCCTCTTCGTTTCCTGAATCCCGCTGTACGTCCTATACTTGCTCTTCGGTTTCATTCACAACTCTTAAAAAACCTATGCATACAGTTTTCCAACTATACTAAGTAGACTGATACTTACTGCGACTCTTGTCTTTTGTACAGAGGAACATCAGCTTATCCCGCCCACCCCCTTTTATCATCGGACGTCCAGACGTACTGCAGAATATCATCCATACATGGTGGATATTCCCTTTAGGTCTACTAAGCACTTTTCGTCATGTTTTTATTATATGCACAGCTCAGGAATGAAACTCCCTGTCTGCGACTGTGTTTCTTAGCACGTACAACCCGAGTATCTTAAAGGTGAGGCCAGACGAGCGTAATTTTGTTACTTGTGAATCGCGTTTTTTGAGTCTCGTAGCTCACGTTCGACTGAAATTCTGTTGAGGCGCCAGACGAACGCGTTTTATTCAGTTGCTTTTAAGCGTTTGTACAGGTGTGCGTCATATAGTGTAATGGATCCATTAAAAATAGTGTGCATTTATATAGCATTAGATGAGGTTAGAAAAAGAAATAAGAAGCTGGGTACATCTACTAAAGATTAAAGTGTGGGTCGTTTCATATACTATATGAAAGTATATGTGTTAATCCAGATCAATTTGTAAAATACTTGCCAATACATTTTTCCCTCATTCCACCCGCACAAACACGTCACACAGTGCGACGGAAGTACTACTAATTTTGCGTCGTCAGGTCTGGCTTGTGGGACTTGAATATGAAACAGGATGTAGCGTAAATGAGGCAACTCAAGGAACCCGACTCAAATCAAAATATTACGGTCGTCTGGCTTCACCCTTAAAGTGCAACTGAATAGGTATCTTCTGTGCGAGCTCGTTCCATCGCGGTCAAGAGCAAGTCCATTTACTTAAAAAAACACAAGTTTTGGTAATGTTACGTGTAATAGTACAGTATACTGACCACTGAGTCTCTTCCATCCAACATCTCTACTGATACTCTATCACAACCTGCCTCCTGTTTTTAAAATTCGATTAATGGTTATTTCACTTTCTTGCTCGTTTCCATCACTCACTGTTCATGCTCATTCCAGTGCTCTCTTAATCTTTATTTAAAGAATTTTCCAAAAGATTTCTTTCATCTAAAAATATTGATCTGCGAGTTATTCACTTTCCTATAACTGCTCTCATGGATTTCTAGAACAAGTTTACATTAGTATTAGCCCAGGGTCATTAGGATAACATTTTAACAAAATTGTCTTTTTGCACTTTGTTCGTTTGACCTATTAGTATTTTCGTTCTTTTTATACTTCTCTTGTTAATGCATTCTACATGTATAAAAGTTCTTTTTCATGTTATCTAGCTATATTAAAGTAATATTTACCCTTTTTACAGTAATTTTTCAGATGTTATGTCCATACTAAGTAATTTTAACTCTCTCAGCGCCACGTAGGCCGCCGGCCGCCCACAAAACTTCAACTACAGCAGGCCTCTATGTATCTTCGAATGTTAACCAGCAAGCCGTGTGGGCCGTCGGCCGCCCACAAAATATTGATTTCAGCAGGCTACTATGTGTCTTCGAATGTTAGCCAGTAAGCCATGTGGGACGTCAGCCGCCCATAAAAATCCAAATGCATCAAGCCACTATGTTTCTTCGAATCTTAACCAGCAAAACACGTGGGCCGCTAGCCACCCACAAAAACATCGAGTGCAGCAAGCCGCTATGTATTTTCGAATTTAACCAAGCAAGGCATGTGGGCCGCCGGCGTACCATAATTTTTTTCGATTTTTCTAGTCCTGAGCAAGGTCGCGTCAGCAGACCGACAGCATAAGTATACCCGTGATCAGATGTCGGCGAACACAGCCAACTGTTTGGACCTTCTGTTAACAACTGATCCAGACCGTTATCAAGTATTCGTCTCTAGTGGTGACAACCTATCATGGACTGGTGAAAGAGGTACCAACGGTACCAATACCATAACATAATTCACATAAAATGGGTCCCTTTTTGGGGATTAGTAGAATTTTTCATGGTCAACCAATGGGATTACGGAATTCTTTAATATAAAAATACGTCTGTTTTTGGTGGGGTAACGCGCGGCCTGCAGATCAAGCTTGAAGGTGTCCCGCTGATAGCCCACATGGCCTGCCACAAAAGTTACATAAGATCTGACGTGGCGTGAAAATATGTGTTCCACGCGCTGCCCACATAGCCTGCTATAAGTTCCTTAAAATCAGGCGTGGTGTGCTGTGAAAAAAAAATGCGTGTCCCGCGTGCCGCCCACATGGCCTGCTACTTCTGAATAATGTTTGTTCCACATTGCGCTGAGGTTACATAAAATTTGTTATCTAAATGCCGCGTTTTCTCTACAGTTTAATTGGGAAATGGACGATTATAGAAAGCTTTTACTTAATAAGTGTTTGATTGCCATCCTCCAATTTGACATTCAATAAAAATAAAATAAAAGTTCAGTGCATCTTGCTGTGTCTCTTTCGATACCAGTACCAAAAGAACTTGACTTAATTTTAGTTCCTGCTGTAAAATTTTGACAATTCCTCATAAATTTACTCATTATACAAATGCATACCGTGTATACCGTATACTAATGCAAAATGATTGAGCGTCACGCGTTAACTAATTTAATAGCTCTAAATTAAAATTAAATCTTACATCATTTTATTTTTGATATCGAGACACAGATGCCCTGAGCCTTAATTAAGTATTTTTGCTTTAACAGAAATCGAAGCCATTACAAATACAGTTAAATATTATTGAACACCAACAGATATTTCATTCAATATCACCACTACACGAATTATGAACGATTTTGAACTATACCATTGACGTACTTGAAGAAACCCGGTTACTAGAATCGCGCTTCAGGTTCAGGCACATTTTGCATATTTTTCGCGGAACTACAATTAGGTTCGTTGTCAATGCCATAGTATAGTAAGAGAAGTATGGTAACTCATTATTATGTTATTGCGCTTTCCTTGAAGAGGTGTGGATGTAGTTATTAACATGATAACTCTGAAACCACGAACATTTCCGAACGCTGTTGCCGCATCTATAAGTTATCATAATACTTACTGATATATTTTTTAACAATTAAATACGAAACTTTATTAGCGTTGTCAATGACTTTGCTGTTGCCCGCTCTACTAATGTCAGTGCAGAATGATCGTAAGGTGCAACGGGTAACAAATGTATAACGGGTCTTCCGAGCCCTGAAATTCACAGTGAACCGATCGATGTACTTGGGTTGCGGCCTATACGGCCTGTCTACGTGCTGGCGACAACTCACTCAAAAAAGCTTTTCACATGGTGTAAAAAATACAAGTAATTATCCGCGATATCGACTAACATGAAAAGCTTTTAGTCTGATCAGCTGCGTTTGGTAACGGGAAGTTAAAATATTTTTTCATACCCTGCATAATTTTCAAAAAATCTTGCATAAGCTCTTGTGCCCATTGTAATGAAGATATTTCTTTATTTCAGTGTATTAGACTGTTTAACTTCACTAGGAGCGCATCTACAGCAGGTGTACATACTAGACGCCACTCTAGAATACACCCTACGTGGTTTTGCTAAGATTCAAGACGAGATTGAGTATGAAACTCCAGACCCCGAACTTGTGATGAAACTCAAGACTGCTTCAAGGAGAATGCGTACGAATATAAATAACATTAGAAGGGAATCTCAAGCTTTGAAACATATACTGGTGAAAGTAAGGCTTGAAACAATACCTAACGATATTTATTTTATTGAATATCATGATGTTTTTACTACTATAATATTCATATAATTTTTGTGGAAATTACTCCACTAGTTTGGTGCTATTATTGATTGAAAGATTGAACAAATATATTGAAAAATTCCTTCCGTTCGGCGGGATACGAACCTGCGACTGTTTACTCGACCGGGGCGAAAGGCTCTCCCAACTGAACTACAGAACGAACCAGCAGACTTTACGAGTTTATGTGCATGTTGTCGATTTTTGTTGTTTGTTTTTTTTCCCTTGGCATTGTAAGAAATCCATGAAAGTTTTTTCTTCACTTAGCCTCAGTCTGTTTTTAGATGTTTGTGTCAATAATAGTACCTAACTAGTTAATGATAGTTGAAAACCATAGAACATGTGCCATTTTTACGCTTAGAGCGCTCCCTCACCGCGAACATTCACCTGTAGTGTAACATTACAAGATTCGTTTTAGAACATTATATTATAATACTGTCTCCTTCATCGAAGAGCATTCGCATGTAATGTAACATCAAAAATTCGGGCACTCGCGGGCTGTCGCGGGCACTCAAAGGCACACTAAAAAGCACTCGCGGGCACCTAACGTAAGACTTGAAAATATTTCTACTTATCTGGTGGAGTCCGGTTTAAGCAGTTACGGTTTAACTTCAAAGACGCATCTGGACAGGATCTATGAGCTACAGATACGGTTATTGAAAACTATTGTTCCTGATAAAGTTAAATATCAATTTATAAATAACAACGATGGTTTATTCAACTTTTGCAAAGTATTACCAGTTCATGAAAATGTCAAATATTGTATACTTGCTGAACAGTACTTTGTTAAGGATTGGCAGGTAATCTATAGCGGAGTCATAAGAACCCGTCGACAGCGCGAGGGTAGACTTGTAGTGCCGTCTTATACCAATCTCTACGGCAAAAATAAGCTGAATGTCAAAGTACCTTCCCTAATTAATGTGTTGCCTAAACAACTAAAGGAGGAAATTAATGAAAGAAACATTAAGTACAAATTAAAGGAACACTTCTTAAATAAGAAAAAAAAATAATTCAATGACACTACAGAAAGTCCAAACTTAAAATAAAACACGCTTTATCACACATCTTTCAATTCCACAAACTTACCTGACAACTAACGCACACTAAGACATTACACAAGTCACATTGCAACGACACTATCATTACGCAGGTCGCACGCATAGGATTAAAGTCGTCACAAAATAATAGATCATATTTGACACATGTCATCGCAACGTAAATAGTGATGTGAACTGCAATATCGGTAACCAGTTTAAACGATTCTCACGAGAAATCGATTAAAAATTTTAGGAGTTTGTAATCGTTTAGGTTATTTTTCTGTTCATTGCTTTTCAGTTCTAGATATATCAATCAACATTTATTTAAACGTTATACAGTTTAATAGAAATAATAAGTAAGTATTTTAAGTGAGCACAACGGCAACCTGTACTTGTTGTTGTATTGTAGTTATACATTAGCATAGTTCACGAGGATAACCTGTACGTAAATAACAAAATTCTGAAGTAAAACAAAAGACCTCCTTATTGGAATTTTTTATTTATCAACGTCATCGGAAGATGAACCAAAACCATCTGTTGAGCTAGTTTCACCAGTCCATATAATTAACTCGTTTTCAATTAAATTATCAATATTAACATCTCTGTCAAAATCTTCTTTTATTAGTTTTCTAGTTTTTTCCACCACCTTTCTCCAGTCTTCCTTTGTTACTTTAGTACATGCTTCCTTTAATAAAGTCATCATTTTTTTTGTGGAGAACGGTGGCTTAGTATTATTACGTCCTGCGTAGCCTGTAAAAAAAAAACACTGTTGTAAAATAGTAATGTTCCTTCACAGTGATATTACAAATTCGAAAGTTTATATGTTACCTCTTTACATTTGTACTTTATTAAAATATGCTACTAGTACAAAATAAGTCTTAATATATACGAATTTAAAATAACAGTATTAAATGCAAAAATATTAACCTTTAATTTGAGCCCAAATCAACTCAATAGCATTGTATTGACAGTGGTACGGCGGTGTCCTTATAATTTTATGTCCATGCTCAAGTGCCAATTCATCAATTTCATACCTAAGTTTTGTAGGTCTATGCTCTCGCACTAATCTTAACAATTCCACTTTCAATAGCTCCATGTCAGCTTCGACACCATTCCTCTGTAGCCATGCCACCAAATCAGCCTTTTTATTTGCCTGAGTCGGCGCTCGATCTATTTGAACCGAATGATACGATGCATTGTCCATAATTATTGTACATTGTTCGGGGAGGTTCTGAAGTAAAGTTTTAAACCACTCTTTAAATTTGTTTGCGTCCATTTCTTCGTGATATTCTTTTGTACTTTTTGATTCAAATGCTAGTAAAGCATTATTAACGAAACCTCCCCCGGCTGATCCAGCATGGCAAATTATGAGGCGACCACCTTTTCCCATTGGCACTTTCGAGCTGGATGCTTTAGTGTCGTCGGTCCATGATTGTGGTACTGTGTGGTTTGAGTTCAACCAAGTCTCATCGATAAACACAACATTATCCCAATTTGTAATTTTATTCATTTCTCTCAAAAATGAAACTCTTTGTAATATTAAATCATGTCTTTCCATCATAATATTTCTTTTGTCAGACTTCTTGTATTTAAAACCAATTTTTTTCAAAATTGTAATCAGTGAGGTAGCACTCCCAGTAAATAAGCCAAGCTCTCGAAGTGATACCAACAATTTACTCACAGTAGGGTACTCGTGTCTAGTATAATATGTATAAACATGGTTACGAATAGCGTCTGCATCGAACGTGTCGATACCTGTTACAGGCTTGCTTTTCTTCCTCTTTCTAGGCGTATGTAATACGTTTTCTTGAGAGCCGGAAGGCCCATATTTTTCTTGTATGATGGTGTGTACCGTTCTTTTGCCGATTCCAAGTGCACTTGCGACGCGATTTTGCACTTGTGTCACTGGTAATAGAGGTCCACCATTAAGTGACTCCCTTTCGAAATAGTCGTGTAATTTCACAACCAGTTCGCGAGTCTGGCTATTTAAAGCACGTCCTCTTTTCGACATGTTGAAAAAGAGTTCACACAGAATCAAGTCCAAAATATCCAAGCCAAGGTCAACGAGATTGAAAATAGAAGTAGTCCAAAAGCACAGCCGAGTCACAAGAAAAAACACCACGAATAACCAAGCGTACAGTCAACTTCCAAGACGGCGAAAGACTGCGCGGGCGCCGATGCAGAGTGACGCTAAATCGACATCAGTGTTGCCGTTTCAGAATTTGCGATAAAGAAAAGGAAATACAAATCTGACTTTACGGTTCTGTCTACTATAAATACTAGTATACTCAGTCTAATTTTGTAAGCACTTTAAAATTTTTGTTTTTGTAATTAAATAAGTCATTTTTTTAAGTGAAACCGATTTGACTCGATGATAGTCGGCGCGTATTGGTTACAACATTATTATTAAAAAGAATTATTTCTTTGTAGACTGAAGATGTAACTGTTTATAAGACGTTTCGGAGTAACCCAAAATTGGATTTTATTTTGGAATTCCTGCGAAAATAATACTTGAAATATGTTTCTTTCATAATGTATAGACCTTCAATAAAATTTATGTATTTTTTTAAAACCCAATAAGTTATTAATTGCTTATTTACTGTTTCGTTGATTGCATTCAACGTTACATACTATCGACTGGTTTAGCTGTCAAATATGATCTATTATTTTGTGACGACTTTAGTAATTAAATAAGTCATTTTTTTTAAAGTGAAACCGATTTGACTCGATGATAGTCGGCGCTTATTGGTTACAACACTATTATTAAAAAGAATTAGACTGAAGATGTAACTGTTTATAAGACGTTTCGGAGTAACTCAAAATTGGATTTTATTTTGGAATTCCTGCGAAAATAATACTTGAAATATGTTTCTTTCATAACGTATAGACCTTCAATAAAATTTATGTATTTTTTTAAAACCCAATAAGTTATTAATTGCTTATTTACTGTTTCGTTGATTGCATTCAAAGTTACATACTATCGACTGGTTTAGCTGTCAAATATGATCTATTATTTTGTGACGACTATAGTATATCATGATCGCACGTGACATCATACCATTCACTCACACAAACACAACATACATTCATCATTTTTCTTTTTGTTATTGTTAAAACCGCTTAGCGATTAATCGTCGGTATTTAGAAAAACTTACTTTAGTTTATAAAATACTGTTAAGTTTAAGATTATGAATTAATAATGTAACAAGTTATCATAAATAAAATAAAATAAATAAAGTTGCAACCTGAACAGATTGACTGCCTCCGTGGCCGAACGGTTACCATGTCGGACTGCTACGCAGAGGTCCCAAGTTAGATTCCCGGGCCGGGAGAATTATTTGTATGGCCTACATTTATTTCTCTCGTGAGTTTGATTGTAATTGTGTTTGTCTATGTGTGTGTCCATGGCACCCGCGACTCAGAGATTCCCTAGTGCGGGGCCATGTTGAGTCTGTGCGTTATTATAAAGAAAAAAAAACAAACATTACAGGCGAATGCTCCCGGTGAAGAAGCGACCGAATGTTACAATGTATCATTACAGGTTGCGCAACGAATGCTCGGTTATACATAATTAGCAGACAGGGTACGTTTAATTCCAACATTGAGGTAGAAAGAGATATAATTGATGAATCTTGAAACAAGCAGACCTAGCCACGTAAGACAAAGCTATGCTATAGAGTAGAGAAATTATCTTATTCAGCATCAATTCCCGATTCTGAACTTGAATGACTACTCGAATTCGAATGTTTGCAATCTCTTCCTTCAAAAAAAAAAAATATTCATAAATAATTAATTACTAGTAATTTTTATGTTATGTCTTTTAAATTAATTTCTAGTGATTTGGAACTTCTATTGAATAAAATTCACCACAGACATGACTGCGATTAGTATTATCAATAGCCTAATCGAATTTCGGGGAAATAATATTGAAATTGAGATAACTGTAAAATAGTTTAAAGTGACAATCCTAAAAATCATGTTTTTGTTTGTTGACATTTATTCTATATCGAATTTTGCTACTGTATAGTGCCCACTTTGCTAACTTCTGAACAAATAAGCTCGAACGCAAATTATTATTATTTATATTTAGACTACAAAGACTATAAACACATACGTTATAGACTAACATATATAATAAAACACTTTTTATGTTCATGTATGGACTGTTGAGGCAGCCAGATGTACTCATCATACTTTTAATGTATTTTCGTATATATCAGAGTTCTTTGGTTTTAACAACTGTCATACATTGGAAATGAAACCATTTTTTCCAATCTAAATCGCGCATATTTGTTTTTGCAAACAAACCAACGATTTGGCTCTTTCCAGTTCCCATGGTCACACATGGTCCAGGAATCGAAATTATCAAAATATATCTTTTCTATATACAAGATTATTTGTAAAATACTATACCTATTACTAAACAATAAATTTGTTGCGTGACTATTAATAATTCATCAGATTTTACTTTCGTACAAAAATAGAAATGTCTAAATAGATCGTTCTAAACGCTGATAATTGCGCGGTAACAAGAGAAAGTGCTAGCGTAAAACTAATTCGATACAAAACGCAGGAAAGGGATGGGAGTCATCGGGGAGGACGCTTGTATATTTGAACTTACTACCTACCATCATATACAGATCTAAAAAGCGAAAACTTAGTTTATATTTGGTAAATGTCTTATTTGTAAAAAGTCATGGTACAAAAGTTATAGTTTATGTTATAACGTTAGTAATACATTCCTACGAGACTGTTAGTGGGTAATTTTGAAGCTAGTTTTCTCTACCTAATTTCAGTGGCAATTTTTATTATTTGAATATTCTAAAATATTAACATGAAGTATTATTTAATATTCACGTGTAGTATCCTAAAATATTATTTAATAATTCACGATAATATACTCGAATTCTTCAATAATAACAATTGCCACCGAAACTAGGTAGAGAAAATTAACCTGAATATTACTCTTGTATTTTACAAATAACCTTGTATATATTCTGAAAATTATCAATGCCGATTCAAAATTTTGTGTCTTTCATTTTTGACTAATAATGACTAATTAAACACGAAGGAAATCCTTTGGGGAAACGATCTGCTTTGTCTGGTTTTTTTTAAGAATGACAATTAACACGTTTGGATACGTCTCTGATACAAACACTTGGCACGACATTGCTAGCGGTAGCGTTTTGTTGTTCGCATTAATTTTATAAATATGAAGATAGTTATCGCGGTATATTTATCAAATGGATTACCGCGATAATGACTGATAGTAATAATTATCAATCAAGGGTCACGGCTGAAGTGGCATTAGTCATTAAAAAAAAACAAATGTACGCGATTTAGATTTGAAAAAAAAAATTCTTTCCAATAAACTTTCTACGTTTATAGACTTATTTGCTAAGTGATGGTTGATTGATTGTTGAAATTGTTACAGATAAGTGACGAAAATCCAGAGCCTTGCGACCTAGTCAGGGAGGATTCCAACCCTAAAATAGTCCTCAGCTACTTGTCCGAAGCAATCCTCATCTGCTCTCTGAGTCTTTTTGTATACCATGCCAAAAATCTAATTACTTACATCGCTACTGGCAAATAGCCATTTTCGTCTACTGTAAAGCCTTATTGAGTATTACGCCAAAAACTTAATTACTCATATCGCTACTGGCTACTAGTCATCTACGTCTACTGTAAAGCCTTTTTGAGTACTACGCCAAAAACTTAATTACTCATATATGCTACTGGCTAATAGCCATACTCATCTACTTTCTAAGCCTTTTTGGATACCGCGCCAAAACCCGCATTACTTATTTCGTTATATAATAAAAAGTTATTATTTTTTAATATTTCGTAATATAAATTGTTTCATATTTCGCGGAAAAATATTTTGTTTCATTTATTTTGGTAAATATACCGGTCCTATATCTACATTCACGAGCAGTAAATAAAACAACACATTAATTACTAATTAAATATTATTCATAATATCATCATCACCACGGGTCTCCAATCATGCGAATTTTAGGCCATAGTCCGCCTCGCTGGCCCACTGCGGGATGGGTACTTCACTCGTTTTCCTAGGGTTGTGAACCTTCTTCGAAGTGCAGGTTACATCACGATGATCTCCTTTAGGGCGTGTTCCCATTATGTCGTAACGGTTTATTTATAGTTGACCACTGTCGCGTCTAGCCCATATCACGACTATCTGTTGTGACTGTGTCGTGGACGTTTATTTTATTGTTGAACGACTGTCATATCTAGCTGTTCCCACTAGATCGTGACGACAAGTTATCGGTTCGCGGTAGCCGCCTTGTCGTTTGCACGACAGAATCGTTTTAAGCTGCGATTATCTGTCGTCACATTTTTACCGTGACGTTTTATTTGTGGTCAGACGACTGTCGTTCTAGCTCTTCCCATTGTCACGACAGTCGGTCGTCATAACGTCAAAAAAGTCGTGAGCGACAGTTACTTGTGTTGTACTATATGTGAACAACTTTATTTAAATATACGAGCCACGACAGTTTAAACTGCATGACTATCTGTCGTCACGACATAGTGGGAACGCGCCCTTACTGAAAAGCTCATGGTAAATGAATTAAATTTCGTACATCAATTCTGATGAATTCGGAGGTGCGAACCTGGATTCGAACCCACGACCTATGCTTGAGAGACGGTAGGTCAAATCATGAGGCTGCCACGGCTATTTAGAAAATAGATAACCTTATTGGTTACTTTTAATTATAACATTTCAATTAAACATTTCTTTCATTCGCACTCCTCATGGAAGAATGGCATAAGTGGAGTTACGTCAAAAATGTTTATTGCTCCATTAAATACAGAAAAATATAACCCACGTTCTCGCCAATTCTTGTTGTGTTGTATATAGTAGATAGTCTCCACATAAGCCATTCTTCCATGAGGGATGCGAATTGTCGAAACGAATCATTCAATAGAACAAATATCTTTAATTGTTGATGTCTTCAATACTGCAATTTCCAGTGAATTATCTTGCTCGTCCATTGAGTTAAGGTCTAATTAATGTATTTTCTCGCAAACAAGTTGTGTATCGATGTCTCTAGGCGAGTCAAGACCCATTGGAAGGTGGGTATGCCATCAAGTTTACCTTCCTGTCTGCCATACTGATCCTTCATTGATCACCAGAGGTGGGAAAAAGCACATTATATTTCCTATACTAAACGTTTAAACCTCCAATCTGAAAATTATCGAAGATGAAAAGCAAAAATCTGAATAAAATATTTTTTAAATATAGATCTTTAAACTTACCATTACAAAACTCTTCTAAATACACTACTGTAGTTGTAATTGCTAGTTTTCCTATACAGAATAGTACAATGCAATGCATTCGGGTATTTCCAATATTTTATCGATTCTGAATAATCGCGCTTGTTTTTCTTACTCTTTCCTTATTTACCTAATTTCGGTGACAATTTTATTGTATTCAATGAAATGCATACTTATTTAGTAGACATATGTTCTGTATTAAGTTGCATTTTTAGTTTCTGCCTATTTTAGTTTCTTCATGGAATATCTTATCTTAACCCTCCGAAGCTTTTTCTGCAATAATTATTATTTGAATATAATCTTTATTGATTTGTTCACAAGTCTAGTCGTCATAACAGTACATTTTGTTTATATTTATTGATAAAATGTGTGTAGGAGACAGACGTGATAATATGTATGCATGTTATGGTAGTTTCTCATATTATTGAAATTAATTTACTTTGCATGGAGTCAACTAAACATATTTTATCCCATCCTCCTTGACAGCAGTAACTCATCCACGCCCACATTTTAAGTCCATCATAAAGTGAAACTGAGTTATCGTTCTCATTTGCACAGTATCTATTTTGGCCCGGTCACCTATCTAGGAGGCTAATTTGGCACTAAAACTGTCACACGTTGGTCGTTAATTAAAACCAGTTCACTATTAATTTTAGTACAGTATACAGGCCACGTCGTGGACGTGTTAGTTACACCGTTATTCATATTAAGAACTAAGAATATGCGTACAATGTAGACCTGGCTATTGTTGCAGTGAACTGGAGTTTATAATTAAACATACCGGATTAACTGTGACTAACTGGTCAATTGCAGTTAACCCATAAGCATACAGAAATACATACGAGCATGTAATTATCAAGAATAGGTCGATTACCTTTGTTGAACTTGCTTGAAGGTACATGAAATTGCACTTATCCCAACCAGTTATGGCGGAAGAGTGAAAATAAATCCACTTGTTCCCACCAGAGGGAAAAGCTGGTAGAAACTAGTGGAATAGGCCACGTAAACAACAGAAATCCTGGTCGATTCTTATAAAGTTTCTATTCACTGGATTTTTTGCGATATAATATCTAGGATCGGTGGACTAAAGTACATAAGTAAAAAACCAACACTATTCATCTAAATACAACTACCGACTAAAATTTGTAACTTATTTGTAATGGCGTCTTTTTCAAATTTATCATTCTCTTCACAACTTCCAACATTATAAATAACACAAAAATTATCGTTATAGGTTAAAAAATTAAGCACTTTTTTGGCTTACGTGCTTTAGTCCGTCGACCCTAGATGTATGTATTTGCCTAGAATTAGGTATTTGAAATGCTTAGAAATAGATTGGTACTACTCCAGACTGAAGTTTTGAAGTAATTATATTATAAATTGCACTAAAATTTTCTGCTTAGATTTTTTGTTTTCATTTCAATGTATATTTAATACAAGTATTATAACATCTATGTTGTCTCTTTAATCGTAAATACCGGGTCTAGGTAGGATAAGTTCTAGCTAGGTAATCATAAACTAGTTAACTAACTAGTTGAACCAATGTTTTGAACGATTTTAAACTCCCATAATTAAATGCAGTCTAGCTATTCTTAATCCGCCTACCTAACTATAAAATCTTACTTTTCACATTTTTATTACTTCCTCTCATACCTACTATGATAACATTAACAATGAAAAACTTATTTTATTCGTCGTAAAAGTTGTGTGATGTGCTTTTGTGTATGTATGTGGCTAACACACTTGCTTACTGCTCGCATACTTTTCATTATAATTGCAAAGTTTTACTTCTACATTATATTTATATACATATACAGGGTGTCCGGTAAAGAATGGATAAGCCTGAAATGCCTTATAGTAGAGCTTATGAACGTTCAAAAAAAATATATCCCATGTAGTACCCAAGATTATTTTTTTTTTCTTTGAATTTAATTAATTTCGCCTTATTTTACGTTTTTGTACACCACGACTACAAGTTAATCAATTCCTTCGGTTTTTTGGTGTCATAATATTCTACATTAACTGTGCTAATAGGTAGGCAGTAAATAGTATGACCAACTGGGGCACTTATTTAAAAAAAATGTTTTATTTTATTTTTCAGGGCAATTTTTTTTCACATAGTTCGAAAATCTTCGATATAAAAAAAAATTATGATAGCCTGAGTGGCCAACTATTTTGAAATAATGTGTGTTTAAAGTAGATTTCAAAATGGTATAATTTATTATTGTATCTAATATAAATAGAAAATTATTGCTATTAATGTGCAAAAGGAGTAAATTTGACTAAAAATTAAGTTTTCAAAATTTTTTTCCATATTTAGTCAATATTAGACATAAATATAACTTTATTTACAATTTGTTTACAGTATAAAATCTAAACAATTTTTACATTGTTAATATACCATGAATGAATGTAATAATACCACCCGTTAATATACCACGTGTGACAGTTATTTGTTACCCGCGCGGTCGCCACACCACTAGTCTTGTTTTATATGAGATAAGGAGAGTCAGTGTCGGCTAGCAAATGTTTTCAGGGAACGCAAATGCAGCTGCAGCTTTTTATAGGGAAAGATACCCTAGATACCCTAATGCTCGTCACCCAGATTACCGCGTGTTCATGAGAGTCCATGCATGTTACTCAGAAGGAAGAATGCCTGGTAGTGGTGTTGGTAGTACTAGCACAACGTGGTGACAACGAAGAAATAGTGCTTGAGGAAATTAAGCAAGACCCTTCCACCTCGACTAGAGTAATAAATAGAACGACGCACGGGAATAGAAAAAGCGACTGTGCATGATGTTTTAAAGAAAAATAAATTCCATCCCTACCACGTTACACGCGTGCAAAAAGTTATTTGGAGTTCCTCCACAATGATCTGCCTAATTTAATGGAAGACGTGCCCGAGGAGCTGAGGGAATCCCTGTGGTTACAAAATGACGGCTGTCCTGCGCACTACGCGGTCCCTGTTCGAGCTTATTTTAATAGAACATACCCAGACAGATGGATCGGCCGTCTGGGGCCAATTTTATGGCCTCCGCGTTCACCGGACCTAAATCCACTAGATTTTTTTTTATTGGGGCTGCCTTAAGGAAATTGTGTGTAGTAAGCCGATCAGGTCCTTGGAAGACTTACGTAGCCATGCCAATGCAGCCTTTTATTCGAAGATGTAGAGCCTGCATCAGAGTCGGTGGCAAACAGTTTGAACATTTGCTGTAAATAAAGTTGTATTTCTTATATTGTTTTTTTTATTGAACCTCAATGGTCAAGCTCAATTCAGGACTAAAAATGGTCGAATTTTGAAAACTTAGTTTTTAGTCAAATTTACTCCTTTTGCACATTAATAGCAATAATTTTCTATTTATATTAGGTACAAAAATGAATTATACCTTTTTGAAATCTATTTTAACACACATTATTTTAGAATAGTTGGCCACTCAGGTTATCATATTTTTTTTTATATCAAAGATGCTTAAAGTTTGTGAAAAACAAAATTTGCACTCAAAAATAAAATAAAACTTTTTTTAAATCTAAGTGCCATAGTTAGTCCTGTTTTACTGCCTGTCTATTAGCACAGTTAATGTAGACAATGCATATAATGACACCAAACAAACCGAAGGAATTGATTAACTTGTAGTCGTGGTGTACAAAAACGTAAAATAAGGTGAAAAAAAATTAAATTTCAAGAAAAAAAAAATATATTTTGTGTACTACATGGAATATATTTTTCTTTATATATTTTTTTGAACGTTCATAAGCTCTACTATAAAGCATTTCAGGCTTACCCATTCTTTACCGGACACCCTGTATATGCTTGTAATTTCACTGAGAGATCGAATCAATAATGAGTATATCCGCAAGAGAACCTGAGTAACCGACATAGCCTAAAGAATTGCAAAACTTAAGTGACAGTGGGCAGAGCACGTTCCTCGCAGAATTGATAGCCGATAGGGCCGACGAGTAGCGACCGCGTAGGTACCGAAAGACGCAGCGTGGGTGACTACCCACATGGTGACCTAGTAAAGGTTGCGGGAAACTGCTGGATACTAGCGGCCCACGACAAGTCGTTGTGGCATGGGGGCTTTTGGCGGCGGCCTATGTTCAGCAGAGGACGTCTTTCGGCTGAAATGATGATGATGACGACTTCTATATATAATTTCTATGACACATAATATGTACACTTAAAATAGGCAGTCAGACTCGTAACATCGACTATACAGGTATAATAACAAAAAGGTATAATCTCAGATTACAAAATATAGGCAGATGGAGCGCGTCGAACACGAAAGTGAAGCCGCCAAAGCAAATACAAATTCAAAAGCGAATACAAACTCGCGTTAGTACCATAGATCAACACTATATTTGAGAGTTTGTTGCGTATGCTCCATCTGCCTGTTTTGTATACCTGAGAGTATAATAATCACATTCAAAACTGCTCTCCATATTATAACATTTCTAGAATGAGCGAAACGGTTTAGCGATTTTTCCATATCTTATTTAGTTTTATTGATAAGCAAAATCAGCTTAATTGACATTTTATTATTATTATTCCCATAATGGCGGACGGTAGGCTTGGGCTAGTGTCAGTGTCGCTGACATTATACATATACCAAAATACTAATTAGTTATGACAAGGAGGACAGAATATATTACGTCCATTGCATGAAACAATGTTGTCGCTTAGCTCACATAATATATACTCCTGTATTCTTGGCTAAGATCCATTTTCGAGACCAGTCCCTGTGCGAGTGGTCTGGCAGAAGGTTCCCTCGAGCGCCTGTTTTTTTACTGTAATCGTATCGTCACTCCTCTGTATGATATCCTCCCTCCTAAAATCCCCCATCCCGTTAATATTAGCTTCCTCCTAACGTTAGTCCATTCTCCCTCTGTGCTCTCCCATTGTGTGTAATTTTTTTTTAAATCAGTTTGTTTCTGTAATAGTCTGTGTAGGTTCTCTGTCGTTGTAGATTTGTAGATTCTCTTCTCAGTGAATTCTGTCGAAATCCACCGGTTAATTTTTAAGTTAAAACGCGTGGGTTCCTCAACTTCACAATGGCGAAATCATCGATTACTTCGATGGGGCCGTAACATTTAAAAGAAAAAGAAACAATGTTTTTGTACACGTAATGAACAAAAATTAAATACACTAATACGGCTGATAATACTTGTTACTATTTTTTATAGCTGGCTTGTGCTTGCTATATTTCTCGCGACATCATAATACCCACGTAGTTATTGTTTCGATTAGGGCCACATCCGTTTTCTTTGTTTCACATTTCGCTGCGTTTCGAAACAATGGTAGGGATAGGTACGCACGTACTGCATTTTATCAAGCTAAAACATAATTTAACGTTGAGCGACTGCTACATTTCATAGTGCAATCGATTTTTATTTTATTTTATATGAAAAAAAATGCCGTCCTCAAATGGGGACAATGGTCTCAAGCAGTGTCAAAAAGTTTGTACCAATATTTTGTCGATGCACAACTTGATGCACTTTTTATATTGCCAGCGCGCTTATTTGTGGCTCAACAGCTATTTGCAGATCGTAACTGTTAAGCCAACTTCTGTCCGTACTAGTATACTATAAAGATGAAGGATCTAAACTTTGAGTGTTTGTGTCTCAAATAGTGACAAGTGATGTAACCGTTAAAACTGTAGCTAATCTAGCTTGTTGTCATTGGTCAGGAGGTGTAAACACGGTGTATTAGCTCCTGCTAGATCCAGCTTGTAGCGGAAGAAAACTCACCACCAGTTTTTGCATCGAATGGCAGTGCGATACAAAAAAATTGATCAGCTTGATTTATCCTGCTGGTAAATTTGAAATCATGCGGGATACCCTCGTCAACTTTCTGTTTATTCACAGCGCTTTATCTTTTTATTTTCTCCAGGGAAAGGACATTGTCGTAATTAGAGCTCATTGTGCAAATACTATAGTTAAGCCATAGAACGAACAGAATTTGGTTGAGTGGGTAAAATCGATAGTCAAAATTGGCACGGTTTTACTCCTTCGTGTGTATTATAAATCTGGTACTAGTAGATATTTCTTAGTTTTTCGTTTGCAGACAGTTTCAGTTGTTCGATAACCAGTGTTCGAAAGCCGTAGATTACATCTTGTTGCATAAGTACAGTACTTTGATGAGCACACTCAGTTCTAGGGGAAATGTCCTATAAATCTATCTACACATCATGGTCTTTCTCGTCCATTACAGCTTCAAAGGCTTTTTGAAGCCCATAGTAATTATGGCTACCAAATAGCAGTTGTGTCATTATTTCCTTGAAAATTACTTAAAGATACAAACTAATAAACTACCCTGTATGCGCCCAATGGCCCCAATTGGGAACACCGTTATATACCACCGTCTGAAGTTGTGAAAACAATATTTAACACAATTATATAATTTTTATTTCATAGTACACGGATATGTTTCAACAATATATGTAAGGAAATAAAGAAATTGTTGGTAATAATATATAAGAAAAACAAGTAACTTTAGCGTTTCACGTGTGCGTAAATTAACCCCGCAAAAGGAACAGTACAACCTCTTCTATTTAATTGTAAACAATTTTTTTAAGTAATAAAGTCAAGATTCACTATTTTACTTCACATATACACTTTTGTAATGAATGTTAATAGTAATATTAAAAATTACGGGTATTTAAACTAGTGTCCTCGATTGGGCACGGTGGGCGCGAATGGGCTAATTTGTTTTTATGTTACCAAGTGACGGGACGAACATGGTGAGCGACTGATCGTAAGCGACACGCCTGTCGATAGCAGTTGCAGCGCCACCCAGTCAGAGCTTTAAATAGCTAAAGATCTGAGGGACGTTGCGCCGCTGCGCCGCTGTACCCTGAGACATAAGTTGACAAGTCCCATGAGCCTGCAATTTCACCAGCACCGTTGCCCTTCGAAATAGGTAAGGTGACAGTACTTATGTATTATTTAGGTGAGATTGATGTCAAATGCGAACTTATTTTTCAAACGACTTTTAAAGAAGGAGGTTCTCAATTCGACTTCTTTTTTGTGTATTACGCGATAACTCCGCGCTGATAAGACTAAAATTTGTGAACCGATTTCGATGATTCTTTTTTGTTGGAAAGAGGGTATTGGTCTAAATTAGATTTGAAGAAAATATTCCACCTCTAAGGGTGGCAAACTAGGGGATGAATCCGATTTCGCGCACTTTCCGGTAATAGATTTCAATAAAACTTGGCAAATAGACGTAATTCCACGAACTTTAGAGGTCGGTTACAAAGTTACATTTATTTATATAAAATTTCCTCGACGAACTGTTTCACAAAGACCTCTACCGTTACTACGTTTTGTTATGTTACCCAAAACTGAATTGGACTCATAAGATACTTTCTCTATATATTAACAGATCTCAGAACATTGAAAGCTTTAAGGCCTGAAGCCTTTCACGCCTGTGTAAGCAATTGACGTAACTATAATGTGAATTGAGGTTAATATCTTTAACTGATTGATTTACAGCAGTAAACGCTGTAAATTAGAAGAGCTATGTCGCAACCAGTTTAATTAGTGTATATGTCCATAGTATATATAACGTTTTATTACGAAACCTGGGTAGTAGTAAACCTAATGTGTTTTTTTAAGATTTTTTTGTAAAGACTTTTTGGTGTCACCAAAATATGCAAGGTTATGAATTAACTTAGTAGTGGTGAAACTTCGGAATATCACAACGCCTACAACGCTTGGCCTAGAGGCTCGTCCTTTAGTGGGTATGCCCCTGGAGGTTATTCCCATGAGGTTCAAGGGTATGTATGATCAAGTATAGGGTAAGTTTCAGGTTTAATATAAAGCCCACACTTTAATATGTCAGTTTAGGTACTGCACTCGCATATTACATAAATTATGTAATAAGTAATAATAATTAATTAATAAGTATTAATGTGGAGAGAGAGGGGGGAGGACTTTGCCCAGCAGTGAGACAGTATAGGCTTTAAAAAATAGGTATTTCAATAATAGAAATGACTACCGAAATTAGATAGAGAAAACTAACCTGACAATTACCGATTTCCCCCCGTAAATAAAAAAGTTAGGCCTTATTAACTTGGGTACTTACGGGGAAGTCTGTGGTACAGGGTCAAGAGCACGCCAAGTTTGACATTTAAAATTTAATCTCGGCTCTATGATGTTGGCGATAAGTAGCAAAATTAAGAGGTACTGTGCTGTATTCAAATCAATTAGATCCTTAAAGAGCGATTTACTTACATAGACATTTTAAAAATCGATCGTGTAACGAGGACGTAAAATAACAAGAGAATGCGGTTTTATGTTTTATTGATATCTAAAAGTTTTTAACAACGGTTTGTACTAAAATATAATTATGTGTTCAAGTTAAAAGCTGTTAAAATGGTGTTTCCTTTGAACATGCTTGTTACTGTTTAGAGGTAATGTTAAGCAAAGAGCTATTTTACAAAACGTTGTGTAAATAAGACACTGTATAGCGGTGGTTCCAACTTGAAAGCCAGTACAAAAACTTTAATGAACACGAGTTTAAGCTCCCTATTATGAGGTCATAGAATATAGGCCATAAAAAATCAACAGATCTCTAATGATTTGTATGAAATATCTAAAACAGTGTGACTATTAAACGTCCAGTGTTTTATTTCCTATCCTCTTTGTATCACTGGAATATCGCTGACAACGAGGAAAATGCATCAAAGAATGCACATACCTACTTCCGACAATCACAGATAAAGCAACATTCAATGTGAACGGTGCAGATCTCGCCTGTGCTTAGCAATTGACCATTTTAAATTAGCTCGGAAATGAATATAGTTAACAAATTATTAAAGTATTCAACTAATGTTATTAAATTTTGAGATTCTCTATAATTAAGATTCAAAATAAATATCTTAGAATCCGCGAATACTCCTTACAGTATAATTTATAAAACGTAAATTAAAAATAAATTATTAACAGTATGGAATAGCTGCGTCGTGTGGGACGGCTAGAGATTCATTGCTCAGTGCTTCTGAACGGGGATGTTCCGATCGGTGATAGCGAGTTGTGGCAACGGCGCCTCCACAGTCAGCACGCCGTCTCGCGACAGCGATGACTTGATGGCCTCGGGGTTCGTGCCCTTCGGCAGCAAGAACTCCCTATTATATTCTCTGTACACCGACTTTGTATCCGATTTCTCCTCGTGTTTTGCGTGAACCTGGAAACAGTCACACACCTACGTAAATAATGCAGCCAGGAATTATGTTCGTGCCGTATCACCCGATCGTCAACCCCAATAAAACTTCACAGCGTGTCGCGTGCATTAAACGATAGTGAACGTTGGCATAATGCCTACGCTTTTCAGCCAATTTTTATTTCGTAGACATAAATAAACATGCTTCATTTTCTTGGACAATTTATCTTCATTAGACTGTGACAAAAAATGAGAGGCGCCAACGAAGTTTCAAGAAAAATCTTTATAATTCTATAGTTGATTGATTTGTACACAGTCACTTGAAAAGAGCAAACGAATGTCGTATCTTCAGGGTTACAATTCTGTAGACTATTGGTGTTTGCTAGCGAACAATAATGTGCGCTGCCGTCATGCTCATGCTCCACTGTATAGTACATATTATACCTAGGTAGATTATACCTAGGTAGATTATACCTAGGTAGGTTATACCTACTCAATATGTTCGCAAATCGTCGCAATGGAAACTACGCAATAACACAGGTTAACACTATGCACTGGCTTACATCCAACATTTCTGAAATTGCACTTTATGCATACTTTGTTTCAGATTTACTAGCACAACCCTGACCTACTTAACGTAACTGGATATGGCTTACACCATAGTTATGATCCGATTTTCGTCTAACATCAATCGCATGCGTTTAAACATCTATGCGGCATTGGCGTATATACCATACCTACAATACCATTTCATTGGTCTTACAAATCGTGGATTATAATCGGTTTCAGATCAGCCGGATGACAACTATTAGTGGACTGCTAAAAATGAAGAAAATTCCACACTAACCAGCAATTTGTTGTCAACAGTCTTAACGACGATTTCTTCGGGTGTATACTGGCTGACATCGAAACGGAGCTTGAGGGACTTGCCGTCACCTTCATCCTGAATGAGAGGCGAGTTCAGGCTGTCCCAGTGGCTAGGCTCAGCCAACTGTCTGCTATCACTATGTTGAGATGTCGTCGACGAGCTGAAAATTCACAATACATAAAGAATGTGCCTGATGTTTTCTAAATATTTGGAAACTAAAAAAAATATGACGAAATAAATTGGTTTTATCATTCTAAAATACAAAAAACTGAATGTTAATGACAAACATGCACAATAGATAGAGAATACGAATGATGAAGGTATAATAGCAATGATGACCGTAATCAAATTAAAAACATTTTTTATCAAAATATTAATATCTAATGTCATGATCAGTGTGACTCAATTTAGTAACATTATGACCCGAAGATAAGGACAGTAGGAACTACAAGGACAGTAGTTAGAGATACATAGTTAATAAATTTCACTAATAATACACGTAGAAATTCTAATCCCGAAATAACCAAGCGTGAATGGAAAGACTAATGCGAATGGATGAAAAGAAAATATCTATATCAAAAACGTCCTGCGTATCTTAATAGAGGACAAGAGCAATATAGTTCTTTTTTTATGATACTTAGTGACGGGACCAACAAGTCGTGCGCCTGGTGGTAAGCGACACGCCTGTCCATAGCAGTTCCAGTGTCACTCAGAGCTTTAAATTGCAAAGATATGGGGGCATTGGCACTGCGCCCGTCGCCCTGAGCATGTGCCTGTAATTTCACCAGCACTCTTACCCTTCAAAACTGAAACGTAGTAATGTTCGCATTGCCGCTTGGTGGCAAAAATAGGTACTTCCCTCGAAACTTTACTAGGTAATATTATAAGTACAATGAGTAGGTATAGAAGTTCTAGGAAAATTGTACCGCTACGATCAGACGTAAAATTACTTTAATTTAATTTATACATGTATCAATGACCCCTCAAACACAATTATTTTTTCACATTTCTTACCAGTGCGACAATGTTGCATGCAAGAGGGCTAGGTACTGCTTAAGAAACAGAGGTCATATCATGCGCGCATTAAAATTACACCTCTAGGTACTAAACACTACAAATAATATGTTAAACCTTATTTGCATGCACACGTTTGCAGTTACCTCGACCATATTACTACTTAGGATCTCTTCATGCAGATGCTTTCCTAGTATACTACTAATTTCTTATGTTAAATCTCTAAGGTTAATAAAAAGTGCTTTTAGGGGTTAAAATTTGATAATAATATTATGTGTTTTTCTGTACGGCGCATTGATTATCGCACGGTACTGCTGTCACGATTATAATTCAAGGTCTCTGTTGACATGTGAGCTCATCTATATTGGTGTATCTCCATATGTGACCATTATGTACATAGTCAATTATCTCATGTTATGCATCACTTCACATGTGATTAATTACACCTACATTTTTACATAATCAACCAAATGAATGAATTATTATATTTTTAAATAACATTCCCATAAAACTCAGTTTGTCTTTGCAATAAAATTTTTAAACGCTACTAAATGACATTTTATGATAAAACACTGGTGTTTAAAGGTTGACTTTAGACCTTGTAAAGGTACGCATCCAAGGACAATCTTAATTGATAGTCAAGGCAAAATAACCGATGAAAAGGAAAACTTTTCAGTGAAAATATTAATGAAGCGAATCGATGTATAACTGTCACGTAAATTGGGCAGACTTGCAGTTCTTGGAACTTTGATAGTTTGGAAAAGTTTAGAAATTATTAAAACTGACACCGTTTTATACGAAAATGGAGCACCTACCTATGTATCTACAATGGTAGACTGGTTAATACGATTTTAGATGTTTATTTGTTCAAAATTAGTATCCAACTTGATGTGTAATTACTATTTAGTCCTGCGTTGTAAGGGGCGCTAAACACGAATTCTTTTTGCATGTTACCTCCACAGCAAATTCATTCAAATTCAAATATTCAAATTCTTTGATCTCGAAATGACGAATTGAACAGTAGCTATTGAAGAAAGATTGTTATTGAAATACAAATTATGAAAGGCCGGTATGTCTATTATAAATCTTCCACAAACCACGCCTACGTGAGTTGGATTTGTTTTACAGCTCCGGATATGAACAGCTACGAATACAAGGTACTTACAGAGTAAAACAAAAAGGTATTTCAGTTGGTTTTTTTTGGGAATTTTTGTTATACCCTGTATACATGTACTATACCTAAAAAAAGTATGAACATATAGTTACATTGTTATTATTGTTACAAATAAGCATGAAACTTAAAAGCTTCTAAAAGATCTAAAACTAATGTTAGAATAGTAAAGACATGTTAATGAGACAAATTACCAACGTACATTAATACATGCAAGATTAGACGTAACCATGACGATATTAAACACGATTCTACAATTTGCAGTACAGAAGAAACTAGATACAGTGCCTTGGTGGAACATGAATGTAATACATGTTCGTTTTTGGCTTTACCTCTCAGACGACTTGGTTACTCCTCCGGAGGAAACAGATTCGTAATTGTAAGACATGCAAAAAGCAATATATCTTGTTAGTTTTACTGAGCTGTTATAGGCTTTTTTCTTTTAAAAATATTTATACAAAGGTATCTAATTTTTTGGGTAAATATCTTTTTGGACAACGCAGAAGGTAATATTTTCCACGAGAGATATTATATCTAAAAAATAATGTCATCTTTATTTACATTGAGTTGAGTATTATATTAAATATTTTCCTTGTACCTTGTCCGTTAACTGTATTCGTAAATAATATAGCATAATAAATTGTTAGAAAATTATTATGAACAAATTCTAAGGAAATTAATATATAAGTAGAGTTCGCATGTAAATGTATTCAAAAGTAAACCATGAGACGTAAGCTTACAAAATTGATATAATATCCCAGATACGTAATTTATGTGGGTACAAAATTAGAGAGTGAGTGTAAGACGCTGCCGGTTGGTAACGCAAGGTGTGACGTCAACTCGGCGGTTTAAACATATGTTGTGTGTTCCTAAACGAGGTGTTAACTAACTACCGATCAAGCCGCACCGTCTTTATTTTATATATTTCACAATGTTTGGACAACAGCTGCTACCACCAAATATGTCCTTTCATTTCTTGCCCAGAATGAACCCACACAAAAACATTTTGAATGTTATTATAACAGTATGGGCGGACCAGTCAGTGCCCACACTTAATTGAGCAAGAAACTAAAAATAATTATGATGACATTTATAAAGTCGCACCTAACCATAACTTTGCTAATATTTGTTTTGTTGTGACCTCTAACAATCAATTCACTTAGAAGTCCGCAGTTCTAAGTAAGATGAAGATGGAACGATGATCTAATTCTACGTATAGTTTATTTGATTTGCCAAGTGGGTCATAGAGTAGACAAGGCTGGTTGTATTACGTCATAGGGTGCTAGTGATTGGGCATCAACAGCCCACCTTAACTAGGTCACCTACCTAGTCAAACTGTCAACATAACTTCAACGTGTGCGCCAACGATACCTTCGTAGCCCGGTAGCTCTGATAAAACAATCGTAAACCGGTTTTAACGACGGCGCGGCGACTGAGGCGGCTCAGTGCAGTTTTACAGCAATGTGTTAACCATAAGTTTTTATATTTGGACATATTGCAAAATTTACCAAATAACTTAAAATCAATAATATAATATGGCATCTCAACAGTCGCTAAATTGTTTTGTTAGAAAGACAAAGTTAACAGGAATTTCGTTTATACAGTGTTTACAATATCTTGAGTTCTCGTGTTTTAGCAGTAAAATGTTCTCATTCGAATCTGGCGGCGGCTATTTCTATTTATGACATCATCCCGCGTCGGGCTTACGTATCGCTGCACGCTTTAAATGGAGGCGGCTGAGATGCTTGCAGCTGATGCCGTTCCGCGGAATGATCCCGAATAATGGCTTTTAAATACTTTCGTGAACTGGTCGTCTCGTCGCCGAGAGCGCACAAGGTGGGCGACCCTTGCGAAACCCCAAAACTTATTAATTCAAGTTACCCTTTTTGGAAACAGGGTCGGCAGCATTGACTGTTGCGATCGGAATAATAATGCGCTGGATTATGTACACTCCACTCAACATGCCTTTGGCAAAATATAAGGTTGCTTAATTAAAATACTCAAGGTACTTTACTTTTTTGTTAAGTTATTTTACTTTTGTGGGTCCTGATAACTCACAAATTTAAGTAAAAAAATATTACTAAATTCGTTAACTGCAAGTTACTAAAATTTTTTAAGAAAGTATTCATACCAAAACTAAAAGATATAAAATGTGCTAGTTTAAATATGTACCTTGTTGTGCTCTTGAAAAAGTTATTGCTTTCCCTGTTCATGAGTTCGGATCTGAATTTGCTCATTTCCTCTTCCATTTTCCTCATTTCGGCGTCGAAACGTTCCCTGATGCTTGAGAATTCGGTATCGATAACTGAAAAATCTCCAAGTTTGATGGGAATATTCCTCTTAAGACCACTGTCAGCCATTTTCACGTAAATGTAATGTGAAAACTGTTGTAACTAAACAAACACTTTCGGGTTATGTCCCAGTGTAAACACAGATCACGCGAAGCTACGCACTCGACGGTAGACAGAGCAGCACTGATCATTAGTTGTCGACTCGGCGCCATGGGGCCTGCGCAGAGTTTTAAATAGCCTCACGTTCGAGCGCTGCCACAGAGTAGCGGCGTCACTCGGCCCACACTTTGCTTCTCGCTCATTCGAAGTCTGCTTGGCTGTACCATTGAGTAGCTGAGGTACCCACACGCACTACAGGCGCTGCGACCACGTCAAGGCAGCGGCTACTCCAATACTAACTAATTGATGACTCATTTCATCTGGATCTGTCTTTCTGGTTAAGGCAATCAACACAATAGCTGGGCGCGAATATGTTAATCACGATTTATTTTAGTTGATCCACGTAATCATACACTTACAATTTCGAAACAATGACTTAGTCGTGGGACAAACGTTGGCATTGGCTACGAACTCTATACATATACCTACTTATGAGTAATTTATGGACTTCATGCAATGTTACCGTTACCTTAGCATTCACGTTGCGGTTACTACGCCGATTTGAAACGTCATTGAATCGAAGTTACCTAAACCACCAGTCAATTAAGTTTGGTTGGTAAAATTTTCAATTCATTCAATTCTGATCCATTGTGTTTAAGGGTTCTAGAAGAAACATTCCTAAAATTCAAAACGGGACATTCCATATTTGGTATTGCTTTAGTTTATTAATAATGTCGCGACAGACACGAGCCTTGAATCTGTGACTCATGACTTTAACATGCATGAAACACAAAAAGGTTCAATTACTTACTACTGCTACTCATTCCTTTTTGTGTTTGTTGATGTAGATACACAATGCCTTAGCCACCTATATTTAAAGGAAGTATTGCTCATAGTTTTTTCAATGTCAAACTTCTAGCAAAAATATTCGCAATTATTTAAAATTTGGGTTGCGGGTGTAGAGTCGCTTATTTAATTAGTAAAATAACGCGCTGTTCAGCAAACTTTGCCAGGTTTCCAAGTGAGTGAAAAAAACAAATTTCCTGTATTTATTAATTCTTATAGTTAGGAAAGATTGTTCCTATATTTTGTTACGTAATTTTAATTAAGTATTAAAACATGCGCAGGTATATACGGGGTGTAATCGTTAAGTGTGCCCAGGCAATTATTCTATAAATATAAGAGATATCAAAAAGCTTTAAACTGATATCGAAGTACGTTACCTAATGAATAAATAACTGCCTCGGTGGTCGAACGGTTACCATGCCAGACTGCCACGCAGAGGTCTCAGGTTCAATTCCCGGGCCGGGAGAAATATTTGTATGGCCTACATTTATTTATCTCGTGAGTTTGAGTGTAATTTATGGTTGTCTATGTGTGTGTCTATGGTACCCGCGACTCAGAGTTCCCCTAGTGCGGCGCTAAAAAAATGGATATCAATAACTTTTTAAAAATAAAACCAGAAATATCCAAAATTTTAACATTAAACCTTAGAGGATGGAAAAAAATAAATAAACGCATCCATACATTTAACATGACATTCATAGGGAGGCTTTAGTTTTCTTGCTGTATGAGGTAACAATAAGTTAACAGATGACAAAACTGGTACAAATAAAGTAATAAAACTATATTTTAATTGATAACAATATAATGGCATAGTCAATTATTTGGTCAAGCCAACTCACAGGCCATAAAAAATAATAAAATTGATAAAATTTTGAAATGATGCATTATTAAACAAAACAGAAATCCTAGGTATATATGTGCATACCTATATCCTGTATAAATCTATATTATTATTTATGAATGAAGTATTTAAATTAATTATTGATTTTCAATTGATTAAAAAGTAAATTCCTTTCTGGTAATTAAAACCAACGACTTTTTACTAATGATATTATTTTATAAGTTTGTTATTTGGTATAACTCAAAGTGTAAAATACCCAGAGCCATGAAAAGTAATTTAAAAAAGTCATTTGATGTTGCACCAACAAAAATAATAAAATAGTGAAAGTTAAATTGAAAGTAAATATTAAGTTTCTTAATTATTTGCTACCTTTTAAGCTGGTGGCTCTATAGTCAACGTTCAATAAATAAATGTTACTTAATAAAAGTATTTTTTTTTTCAAGTTCCCAAAAGTAGTCCGTTAACACCCACTGCTGGCTATAGGCCTCCTCTATTGCACACAAGCTCAATAGGGCCTGTGCGAGTCTCATCTACAGTCTTCCGGCCATTCCGACAATGTTTGTATGGAGAACCAATTATTTCTTAGCTAAGTAATACAGTAGGCTACTCGAAGTACCTACTTATTCTACGCAAACAATTTTAAATTTAAAATCCTTAATAGTTTCTAGCCAGAATATTACACTAAAAATACTAGTCCTTATATAGTAGTCAGAACAGTTTGCTTTAGCACGGCAATTTCATACGTTAATCTAAAAATTGCCTAGCACAATCTTTTAGAAATCATCTTTTAGAATTTTACGGTGACCACAACTTTATATTTTTTGAATAAATTCGTTTCCTAAACGAAAAAAAAACCCATTTCGATCCACACGTGTTCATTTCCAGGGTAAGTGCACAATAAAATGTAAATATAGGGTAGACTTTCTCAGAAAGCTTTTACGCTAGGCTGTCGCCCATTTGTTAATGTCGGGAGCCCTTTCAACCCACAGGAAACGATGTGATGGTTAAAATAGACGTCTACAACTATGTACTTATTTTTAGACTTTATTTGTGGCATAGATACAAACTCGAGGTTTTGTGTTTCTGGCCAGTCTCGTCTGCAGTTTTCATTTTGCATCTGGAATTCGAATCTGCGCTTCTGGATTGATTTACCTACATGCTATCAGTTAAGTTCAGAATTATGTATTTTATAAGTCACGATGTTGCTTTCTCGGATCGAAAGAATATTAGAAATCATTGTCAGCAAAAAGTCGCTTTATTTGGACGCATAAAGCCAGCCGAGAACTCAGTCGTGAATGTAACTTAACACGTTCACATTCCCCCATATGTCCACCGGAAGTCAACCCCATAAGTCCACCGGAATTTCTGTGAAACAGTGTTGGTTTTGTCTTTTACTCTCACATCATACATAATATATTTAAAATGTATATTTTTTTATTGTACCAGAAGACTACCCAATTCACGAGACTATTCAATTCACTTCAGTAGTATGAAGTTGCGACGTACTCCATAGGTATGCGTGAACTTACGGTTGAGGCCAATAGGTGGAGTCAAGGACTGCGAACGTGTTAATCCACATTAAAAATTTCATCCTTTTGAAAATCTGTGAAACTCTGAAAGGCCTGGCTCAAGGCTTTCTACCACGTAAATGTTTAATCTTAAAAAGCCCCACTCGACTTAGAGGTTGGTGGCCTTGGTGGTGCCAAGTACACCGGCGGATATATGAGGAATTCAAGATAACATCTTGGTGCATAATAATAGTAGTAGTAGGTAGGATAGATAATGTGTAGGTATTTTTGAGCCTTCCTTTTGTGGAAGTTATGTTACTTGAAGACTTTTTACTTTGAAATCTTATTAATATCTCCGCCTAGGTGCTTGTTTCTGTTTTTAACATTTTGTAGTCGGCAGGAAATACAGTAGCTTTTACTTGTTTATAAGATCCTTGTAGAAGTTATAAAACTTTTAAAATATCGCGTATAGGTATATATACATACTTACATATCTACATCTTCTTCGGTTTTTGGCAGCTGGCCGTAGCCGCAAATATATTTTACAGATTTAAATTCAAATAAAATTTATCTTACCTGTCGCTTTTAGATATTGCAATCAGCATTTTATTTACTAAATAAATCTTATGAAAGTCATCAAGTGCTTAACTTAATGCTTAAAAAGTTTGTCGTCAAAACAGCAGTAAGCTTTCGATTGAGATGTGTCGATGTAAATGTTTTAATGTTCTTAGGTCATTGAGGACGTATTATTGGGAATTCTGTATACATGTAGAAACAAGTGCCGTATTACCATTTCGCTATTTGCGCTACATCTCACAGCCCATTGGAATGTTGATGAAAGCGATAATTCACAAGTCGTTCACATCCCGCTGAGATGGGAAGCGGAATGACATTACAATGAAAAACCGATAAGCAACACCTACTCCACTTTTTGGGACACAAGAAAAAGCTTCCTTGACAAGTTCCCAAATAAGATTAGACGTTAATTAAATTTTAATCATGACAGGTGAATGAACTAGCGAATTAGGATATAAAGTCATGCGTGACGTCATCATGGCCTGATGAGACAAGACCTGGTTTGTATTAGGAATGCTGGCTACACACGCTTCTCCTTATTTGGTGAGGTACTGGCACAAAAGCTTGAAATAGTGCGGTAAAATGTGGTTGTTTACTTATATCGAGCGAGTAGGCAGCTTTGTAGAGTGACTTAACTCTAAAATTCGTCAGTGGGCAGTAGTCTATCCATAAAAATAAAAGAAAATAACAGACGTTACATTCCCATTTAGTTTTTTTATAATATCAAGTGACGGGACGAATAAGTCGTGCACCTGATGGTAAGCTACACGCCTGTCCGTGCACAGACACACAGCTCTATAAATCGCAAAGATCTGAGGCGTACTGCCACTGCGCCCGTCATCCTGAGATGAAAGTTGACAAGTCCCATATGCCTGTAATTTTACCAGCACCCTTACCCTTCAAAACCGGAACACAGTAATGCTAACATTACTGCTCGGCGGCAGAAATAAATAAGGTGGCAGTACTTCCGTGGACGAACTCTTTCACAAGGGTCTCTACTGCTACTAAAACCTCTGTAATAGTTTTACCTGACTCTTCAGTCATGTAAAGCGTAGTTAGGTAAAGATATCAGCTTTAAAAATTTGATTGTATGAATGATACAGAATTTTCAAAGTTGATATCTCAATGACCATGTAACAGACAATGACAGGATATATTTTTAGCCAGCCGTGACCATGAGGCCTGTAAAAAGGCCGAAACGTTTCTTTGTATAAATAACCAAAATACGCCGTATTAGATCCGAAAAAATAGTTTTAATTTCCCGAAATACGTACTTTCCTTCAGGATAGATACATCTTTTTCCTTTCATTATTAATTAATGGCAAGTAATGACAAAGAAAATCTGCGTTACTCTGTTTTGATTTAGGCAAAAATAAACAATTTATTACTCACTTTAGTAAATCTGGAAACTTGATAAAAAAATCTCG